TTTGGCCCGCCAGGTACAGGAAAGACAGTGACCATTGTAGAAGCCATCAAACAGGTGTGTACTTTATTTTCTGGGACATTATATCGGGTCATAGTTCATTATTAGTTGCAATTTGGCAACATTAAAAGCTCTATAACTACTCATTAATTAATTGACCTTAATTTTATTCACAAAGGGCTTGATGTGCCCAATCAATGTGAACTTTGACAATTGATTCTATTACTTGGAGCTTTTGTTGATAAGCTGTGTTAGTGGTTTTGATATAGAATCTGTTAATGTAAACTAGTTTGCATTCAAGAGAACCTCAAGTGGGATGTTAATGTGGCTGACATTATCAGCTGGGCTTCCAAAAGGTTGTTCATTCTTTTTCGCTAAGGAAATTTAATGCTTCAACCAAGGATTTAGTTGCTGTATATATGTCATACATTCGTCCAATAGTCGAATATGCTGAACCAGTGTGGCACTCCTCTATTACCCAAGATCAATGTAATGATATTGAGAGAGTCCAGAAACGTGCGATCAAAATAATCAATCGTGGTAATTACCACTCATACACCAGCCTGCTCTAATCTTGGATTATTCTCCCTTAAAAAACGTAGAGAGCAATCAACATCTAAGTTTTCAAATCAGTTGCTCAATTCCAAAACATTTAGACGATTTTGCCTCCGTCTAATAGTTCACGACATGGTCGTAACCTCCGTCACTCTAAAACCTGCAGGTTCCAAAATGTAGAACGAATAGATTTAGTAATTATATGACACGTTTGCTTGGTTCCGGTTAGCTTTTGTAAAAATATACTGAAAAATCAGGAAATTTCGCGCGCATTAAACTTTCGCGAATTTCGCGAACGGTCCAGATTCGCGAAAATTTTCAGGTCACATGCTCTATGTTTAAAAAAAGATCAGTATAATACTATCTGATCATCGTAAATCTCGAATCAGTTTCACAAAGGAGATTCTGGTCATTATAAATCACTAAATTACACCAAAAATTAATCTAAACTTTTTTAAAGATGATAATGAACAATAAACAGCAATGATTGTCAGTATTTCAAGGCCTAAACTCGCCGACGACGATGCAATACAGATATAGGGCCTAGGCCTAAATGGGGAATCCCCACAGATTGCAACAGGTTCGTGAAAAGTTCAAATTCAAAATTTTAAAAATTGTATTTTAAATTATTTTGTGGATTATATTAAATGTGTAATAGAATGTATTTTAATTATTGAATAAATATTCTGACCTTACATTCCGATGTTGAGCTCAAAAAGTTCGTAAATTCTAGGCCTATTCTAAACTACTCAGCAAGTATACTGATCAGCAAGGTTCTGATCACCACTGCATGTGACTGCACATGTGCAGTACCACTGCGCAGTATACTAAGAAGTTCAAATGGAAACTAACTTTCTTAGCTTGACATACCATGGTGTTCAGTCATCATCAATCAATGTGTTTGAATCAATAATAGGCCTACAGGAAATATTCTCATTGTAGGATGCTTGAATACTATACAAAATTTAGGAATATCGTATGAGTGAGTATGTAATGTATGTAATTGTGTCTTTCTTAACTGTGCTTGGGATGGCCAGCTAAGTCCTGGTCCTAGCAGCTGAGGTAGGCTGCAGGCTTATGTCGCCTAGCCTAGGCCTAGCTATTGTAGCCTAGACAGTGGCTGTAGGCCTATCTAACCTAGGCCTAGAACTCACAATACGATATTTTCAACTATTGTATGGTATTCCTGTCATGAATAAAATTTAGGCCTTTATTGTGATTCGCGAAAGTTAAATTTCGCGAAAACGGCCGAAATTATCAATTCGCGAAAGTTTCGTTGCGAGAAAGTTTCTGGTTTTACAGATATCTTGCCTGCTACTCATTGTAACCTTGGACTTTCTTATTGGCCCATGTGGTAATTCTTGTGTTTGGCTGGCTCACAGTCCACAAAATATTATTTTTTATTGGTTTGGCTGTCTATGTTAATTGACGTTTGTTTTTATATGCTTTTTGTCTTTTTCTCTCCCTTTTTTATCTTTTTAACTTGGTTTTTTGTCTGGTGATGTTCTTCTTATCCCTGTTTTTTTTTTCATTGTTTGTGTTGTGAATTTCATATATTTTGGTGATTTTTAATTGTATGGCGATTTTTGCAATACTTTATATAGCCGTTTGGCTGTCCGTTTGTAATTTTTTATCTGAATCTGAATAAAGACCTTGAATATATTATACTTGCATATTCTGCAACTAAAGTAGGCCTTTAAGACTATTGTGCTCACTGGCTCCTTTGTTACATTAGGCCTTTGTCCATTTAATCTTTACCCCGGTATTCTTAAAACGAATTTTTGTCGAATTTCGAGCTAAAACTTTAAAATTACGTCACTTCGTATTCTTAAAACGAACTTCGACTAGCACTACGACTAAATGACGTGAACCTCGACTAAAATGATACCTCCGCAGGCCGATTTTTTTAGTCAGCCTAGCTAAAGCGCTGACTTGAAATATTTACCTCACTAAAAACGTGTTTTTTGTAACTCACGATAAAGTGAAACGAATAAAAACGATTGTATACGCAGGTTTGATATATCTTCGGTGTGTTAAACAAAAGAGACATCAAGTTTAGCTTCCAGAAGGAGAAATTAACATTTTTGCTGGCCACATGCGATAGTTCCTGATTTGCACGGAATCCCCTCGCGTTGCGATCACATAGCTTCACAATAAAAACAACAAAGATGGCGCCGCCCTCGTTCGGGCTCAACTATAATAGTTCTCCAAAGAAAGCAAACTTTCAGTGTCTATTCAAATTCTCTATTGTAATATGTTAACAACTGATATAGTTATTATTATAGAAAATTAATTAAGGGAATGATGGTCTATTATGAATTATGAGGAAATACGTTTTTGAACCACAGACGGCAGCTTTATATTCATCCGCGGTACCGGATCTCTAAAATTTCGTCTGCTATTAAATTTAGCCCTTTTCATTGCTTAGTTTGATAGTCGTGGCTTGCCAGTTGTCTTCAGTTGAACTAAAAATAGGACTTGATTTAGTCGTAGTTAAAACTTCGACTACATTGTTTGTGAATACAAATTGAAGTTAAAGATGCAACTAGCACTAAATGAAGTTCTAGTTCGAAGTTTGACTAAAGTTTGTTTTAAGAATACGGGCGTTAGAGATGCGTGGATTATTATATAATAATTATTATATAACCCCCATACCTCATCACTTTTGGGGAAATTCTAAAATTTTAGTTTAAAAACGGTCATTTTTTTTTAATCTTTTTTAACATGGAAAGCTCATTTCTTGCAAAAATGTTTACTGGTACAACAAAAACATATTTTTTAATATAGAATTTGAGGGGGGCGGAGTTAGGGAAAAAAATCCTCCCTTCCTCATCAGTTTTCATTGATAGGGTGATAAACCTTATGCCCACACAGTGGTCCACTGATGCACACTACTGATTGCGATAGGGGAAGATGTTAACAAACTATCCTACGTTACGCAAATTCGCGACCGGCTACACACATGCTCATGGTTCAATTCAATTCAATTTAATATTCAATTCAATTTATTCAACAAATACCCCCTGGCTGGCGAAGGTAAAAATATATAAAATACAATAAAACTTCACAATACAAAATTAATTAAAAGGAACTCGCATCCATAGTTAGGTATAGAAATTTAAAAAATGCTCTTGTTCAACCATAACCTTTATTGAAAAATAAAAATTGCGTACGCTCAACGTAGTACAGTATGTGACCTTACAACTATGGGCGGCCTAGCGTGCCATCACGTAACAATTGCAGGTTTTCTTAAAACCTTAGATGAGCATGTGTCAGAAAAGGAGTAGGACTAGGCCTAGACTATAGTAAGAAATGAAAGTTGGAAATATAGGGCTATTGTCGGTCCAGGGAGCTCTCATCTCTCCAAGAGAGATATCCTCATTTTGATATTGACCTATTGGAGAATGTGATTCCACTCAAATCATGCCAACGTGCACAGTCCCAGGATTGATTGGATTATTGACTTGCTAAAAAATCACATGATAAACGAGGTGCTTATTCGCGCGAGTACGGTACCGTATAAGTTGAAAGAATGAAGTTTAAAAAACTTACTTTCGTTGCAATGTGGATTCTTATAAACATTAGAACAAGAATCAAACAAAACACGACATTAATTAATGTCATTATTTGATATAAATATGAAATTGCCTGTTATTTTTCCAGATCATACCATGCCCGAAAAAACGAAAGAAATATAAATGATGATGATGTTGAAATACCAAAACCAAAAACATCAATAAATGCACCAGGGAACATAGAAGAAATCTCCATGCGGAGTGGTAATGCAGTTTACGTAAATGATGCTGTAAAGAGACGGGCAAGGATGAACATACCTCGTTACATTGATGCTAAATTACCACCACTACCACCACCACTACCAAGAAAGACAAATCCAGAACACGAAGATCTGCACACTTACATTGAAATTGATTCAGCATATACTAACCCTAAAAAGTAGCTTGTATTAGCATAAGAGCCTCTTATGAGGTCTGAGGTCACTCAAGTTCCAGGGCCTTAAGAAAGACCACCTCTGGACAACTAAAAAAAACCTGGATATTACGTTTTGGTTATATTAGACCTAATAGCTGAGATATTGTTTGTATTCATAATTTATTTTGAGACATGAAGTTATACTATAATAAAATATATTCACAATTACTGTAGCCAGATATTATAAAATTAATTATCTACAACAAAATAAATTTCTCTTTTTATTATGCAAACAAATTATTCCAGAAAATAATCATCTAGTATTTGCCATTGTCAAAATATTTCAAACAGTGTAGAGCATGGCCGACGGAACCGGGGGAAGTACCAGGTGGGCCGCCCCCCCCCCTCCCCCCTCACACACACATACACACCCACTTTTGGTCGAAAATATATGATGTCTATGGAGATTTTTGTATGATCGGAAATATAATCACAATTATTGTAGCCAGATATTATAAAATTAATTATCTACAACAAAATATATTTCTCTTTTTATTATGCAAACAAATTATTCCAGAAAATAATCATCTAGTATTTGCCATTGTCAAAATATTTCAAAGAGTGTAGAGCATGGCCGACGGAACCGGGGGAAGTACCAGGTGGGCCCGCTCCCCCCCCCCCCCCCCCCCCCCCCACTCACACACACACACCCACTTTTGGACGAAAATATATAATGTCTATGGAGATTTTTGTATGATCGGAAAGTAATACAAGAAAAGAAAGGAGGAAGAAAGAGGAGATTGAGCGGAAAGAGAGTGTTTCTACAATCCCCGACCGAGTTACATTTTTCGCAATTCACATTAGCGAATCTGGTGGGGGACAGGGGTCCTGACCAACTCCCATGGGCGAAAAAAAAAAATTAAAGAATTCTTTATTCTATAAAGAAAATTAGAAGCTTACCTCCCGCCATCTAGGCATAAACATTTTCTCGGGGGGAGAATCCCCCACCCCACCCCCTTTCCTTTTAGAATATATCGATTTATGTGAAAAGAATACGATGTAATTACTCTTTTTTTTTTTTGTTATGTTATATACACATAAGGCCTACTTACTGTAATAAAGAACGAGAAAAGATTACCTGACCGGCCGTTTTCAAGTCATTAAAAAAAAAGTTAGAAGTCGGGAAAGCTCATTTCCCGCCATTTAGAAATCAACATTTTCCCAAGGAGACCCCGAACCCCCCTTCTCTTTAGGTTCATTGATTCATAGAATTGTTCTCAAGAGGGGAAAACCTTGAATTTTGAAGAATTCGTATGCAATTACTGTTTTAGCCCTTTGGGCTATCCATAGGTGTAACTTGTGATGCGCGGGTTAGAGTAGACGACCATACTAGCAAAGAATGTACCTGTACTGTAAGTTCGATTAATGTTAGTTAATTATAAATCGTTTATTTTAAGAATCATATAATATTGATGGTATTGTGATTTTTAGGCTGTGGATTATAACCATAGCTATTAAACATTGATAGCATCTTGATGCGGATTAGCAGATGATGAAATCTGTACTTTAGATACTCAAGAAGCCTAGTTTATTGTTTGCGAGAGGGCCTGGAACTTCTCAGGAATTTGGTCTTAGGTCAAAATCAAGCTTATTTGACGTCTAATTGATATGGTTAATGATCACACTTATAGAATGTTGAAAGTAGACATTTAACGATATGTTCAGTTTGTTAACGGTTTATATCAGCTCGGTATAAATCACTAAGGATAACAGTATTGTAGGTTGATAAAGGCGTACGCCATGTAATTAATTAGCCATTGTAGTTTGGGCTAAGCCTTGCTGACCGGTGCTCGTTCCGCTTGAGTAGCTCGGGTATATAGGCGAAGTTTAGGTTGCCGTGTGGTTATTTTCCATACACGGAGGTGGCTTTTATGCACGGGAATTGTTTAATACTGATTTATTTGTTATTGGTGTTATGCTAAACTAGGAATATACTCTATACTATATTGTAAACGTTGTTCGTTCTTTTTATGACAGGGATAAATCCACTATAAGTTGATAGTGTTACATCCATGTGGGATTGCATTTTAGTTTGCTGAGTGAAGACTTGCGGTGTCCGTAGGCACTAGCCTGCAAGTTGACTGTAGGAATATTGTTATGTTAAATAGCCTTGGGTTATATTATGGGTAATTGATAATTATACGATATTGTTGATTGTTGGTTCATGAATACTCATAGTTTGTTTTGTTATGTTATTCACAGTTTTACTCGACGGTCACAAAAGGAGGAATAAATTACACGTACAACCGTCAACGTGTGTTTGTTGTATTTATGTGCTGGAGAGTTCACATACTGGATAGGGGGCGCTCATTCCCTCGAGGCCAGTACAGTAAAAAGGCTAAACGGCATCGTCAATAGACTCACACCAAGCTAGGAAATGACTACATCGTCGGGAAAGACGTACCTTGCGAGTGCAAAAGTTGTGGAGAACACGTCCACAGCACAACAATCGACCGGTCATTCTTCACTGCACAAGAATGGAAGAGTGCGATGATGATAGCAGCATCTCTTCGTGGTTCTCGAACACCAGCCTTATTAGTTCTGCATCCTCAAGAGTTCGAGCTAGGGCAGAAAGGAAGAGATTGAATTTATATTTCATTCGTGCCGAAGTTGACTTGCGCCGAGAGATGGCAGAGAAAGAGGCGGAACTGAAAAGGAAAAATGCAGACTTGCCAGAGGGAGGTGTGGGCAACAAGACACCTAATCCTAAACCAGATATGGACGCAGCATCAGAAATTGGGAATGCCTTACTGAAGAAGGAATTAGTAAGCAGTAGCCTAAAAAAAATTTGATGAATCTCCTGGACATTATCGCGCATGGAAATCAGCCTTTAAAAATTTGATGAATCTCCTGGACATTATCGCGCATGGAAATCAGCCTTTAACAATGCGACTAAAGAGTTGAACATGACTGCTGCACACAGGCTGGAATTAATTATGAAATGGTTAGGCCCCAAGTCATCTAAGTTAGTAGGACCTGTATACAATATACACATCAGCAAGCCAGTGATAGGGCTTGAACGGATCTGTGATCTATTAGACAACAAGTATGGAGCCGCAGAGGCGATTGAAGTAGATTTGCAAAACCGTATTGATTGGTTTCCTAGGTTAAACAACTGTGACACGGAGAAGTTGTTAGAGTTTTGTCACCTACTTCACGAAATTGAGTATATGAAAGAGGAAGGCGTGTGTCCTGGATTGGCCTGTGTAGACTCTGCTAGAGGCCTCTAAGTATTAAAAAGACAAGGGCATGATATTTCCTCCATTTCAGGTTTATTCAAGGTTTGTCCAAAAACACGCGAGAATTTGGAATGATCCGAGTTTTACTAGACCATACCGAAGAGAGACAAATGTCGAGCGTTCAGAGACACGTCTATAGAGGACAGGAAAAAGTTGTTAAAACGACTCAAAATGTGCTTCCGATGCAGCGCATCCAGCATTCATGTCGCTCGCCATTGTAAGACAGATGCGCGCTGTGAGGAGTGTGATAGCAACGGTCATGTGACAGCACTTCACTACGCATCGTCGAAACCATCAACTTCAAGCCTGCACGCTGCCAGTGACGACGGAGGGGAGATCATCACTAACAAATGCAGTGAAGTAAGCGGACAGGAAGGAACTCCAAGATCCTGTTCGAAAATCTGTTTAGTCAGGGTGTATCTGAAGGACAACCCGTCTAATGCTATAAAAACCTATGTTCTTCTGGACGATCAGAGTAATGGCTCCTTTGCAAGAAGTACCATATTCACTAAATTGGGCCTCCAGGGAGATGTTAACGCATACACCATCAAAACAGTACCGGGGAGAAGAAGGTGTTTGGCCGAAAGCTAAATGGTCTGGTTATTGAGTCATTAGACGGTAAAGTCAAGATGACTGCTCCAAGTCTTCTAGAATGCTAGACTATCCCAGGGAACCTTGCAGAAGTACCAACACCAGAAGTCGCAGAATCATTTCAGTACCTTAAGCATATCGCTTCAAAACTGCCACCCCTGGAGGAAAATGCTGAGATTTCCATTCTCCTAGGAGGAGATGCTCCGAAGACCCATAAAGTAAGGGAACTTCGTAACGGACCAGACAACATGCCATGGGCACAGCGTTTAGATCTTGGTTGGGTGGTGATTGGCGAAGTTTGTGTGAATGATGTACATAAGAAGAACGGTATATCTACATGTAGAACGGAGATCTTACTCAATGGAAGACCAAGCAGGTTGTTTGAAGTTTGTAGAAATCATGTTGAAATTCAAGATTCGGAGTTATTCAAAATAATCCCTGATGATGAGAAGACGGCTATGTCCACAGAAAATAGGAAATTCGTTGAGATCATGAACAGCAAAATGAAGAAAGATGAAAATGGGAATTGGGAGGCACTATTGCCTTTCAAAGAAGGTCGCAATATACTACCGAATAACAAACCTGAATCCTGTAAACTACTGCAGTCACTAATACATAGCTTTCAAAAGCGGCCCAAGATGAAGCAGGATTATTTTGAGTTCATGGGGAAGATTATGGAACGAGGACATACCGAAGCAGTAAACGATAGTAAAGAAGAGAGGCAGTTGGAGTGTTGGTATTTTCCACACTTCGAAATTTATCACCCAAAAAAGCCTGAGAAAATACGGGTTGTTTTTCACTCGAGTGCGGAAAGTAAATGTATCTCATTGAATGATGTTCTCCTGAGTGGACCTGACCTGGTCAACAGTTTACACGGGGTTCTTGTGAGGTTTCGGGAAGATGTCGTTCCCATCATGGCAGACATCGAAGAGATGTTTAAAGTCAGTGAGAACCACAGAGACTTTCTAAGGTTCTTATGGTACAGGAATAACGACCCTGCTGAAGAGGTTGTGACCTACCGAATGAAAGTCCACATTTTTGGAAACAAGCCATCACCAGCCGTGGCCACATTTGGGTTTCGTAAGACAGCGGAGCAAGGCGGACCACAGTTTGGAGAAGACGCTAGAAGGTTTGTTGATGCAAAATTTTATGTCGACGATGGTCTCAAGTCGGTTGGATCACCAAGACAAGCGATAGATTTGTTACGCCGAACAAAGGCCATCCTCGCAACTGCCAACATCAGGCTTCAAAAGATTGTCTCAATAGTAACAAAGAAGTCCTTGAGGCCTTTGATCAAGACGATAGTCCCGGATCTTAGAGAATGGGACCCAGACAACAATGCAGCACTTCAGCGGTCATTAGGTGTGTATTGGAATGTATCCACAGACTTGTTCACCTTTAAGGTATCAGACACTATGGACCGGCCTAACACCAAGAGAAGAGTGCTATCAGAAATAAACAGTGTGTTTGACCCGTTGCAGTTTGCCGCACCGGTGACAATAGAAGGCAAAGCATTGTTGAGAGAGATGACACAAGGTTGGGACGATCCTCTACCTCAGGATATCTTGTATAGATGGAACAAATGGAGAGAGTCACTAAGTTCACTTTTCAATCTAGGTGTAGCCAGGCCATATACGTTAATACCGGCCATCGAGGCAACAGGACGAGAGTTACATGTCTTTTCAGATGCATTAAATAAAGCTATAGGAGCAGTGTGCTACTTAGGAACAAGCTATGAAGATGGTAAAATTTATCTGAGCTTCGTGGCGGGCAAAGCAAAATTAGCACCAAAATCAGCTACATCCGTTCGTCTTGAATTATGCGGTGCTGTTCTTGCAGTCGATCTAGCTGCAGCGGTCCTGGATGAACTCAGTCTTGCCGTACATGAAACTTACTACTACACCGACAGTAAGGTAGTCCTGTGCTATATACGCAATGAAGGACGAAGGTTCTATACGTATGTTGCCAACCGAGTGGTCAGAATGTTGCAAGTCACTACAGCCAAACAATGGAATTACGTTCGGACTGATTTAAATCCTGCCGATGAAGCAACAAGATCGGTAAGAGCTTCGGATTTACATCGTTCTCGTTGGCTGATGGGGCCTGCGTTCCTTCACCAAGTCACCAGTGGTGCAACTGATAGTATGCAAGATGAATCCATCGAGTTAGAAAATGATCCTGAAGTTCGCAGAGAAATAACATGTACTGTAATAAGTTGGCCATATCATAAACACTACTCAAATCTGGAAGGTTCGACCGATTTTCGAGTTGGAAAGGAATGGTTCGTGCCATAGCGAATCTGACGCATGTTGTTCGCTCATGCAAACAGGTTAAAGAGGACAAGTGCCAATGTTGTTATGTCTATTTTTTATTAAGGCTTTTTTATTGTTATTTTTTCTGTTCAATGTTATGAATGTATTATGCATGAAAGAAATAAATTTAAAAAAGTGCCAAGGTTGGCACATTTGTGAGAAGCCGAAAACACCAACAGAAATGCAGGCAGCAGAGAGGCTCATTATTAGGAGTGTGCAGAATGAGTTGTTCCATGACGAAATCACCCACCTTAGGACAGGCACTGGTAAGCTACCAGCGAACAATTGCCTTATCAAACTTAATCCATATCTAGATCAGGAAGGAATTGTCAGGGTAGAAGGTCGGCTTTCCAATGCAGATATTGTGGATAAACATATGCACCCAATCATCTTTCCTAAAAACAACCATGTTACTGATACCATAATACAATACTGTCATTAGCTATGCCGACACCAAGGTAGGCACTTTACTTTAGGCTCCGTCCGAAATGAAGGGTACTGTCTCAGACGCTACATTTCTAAGATTGTACTGCAGTGTGTCATCTGCAAAAAGCTCAGAGGCAGGTTCGAGACCCAGGTCATGGCATGCCTCCCAAACGAACGGTTGACGGCAGCACCCCTGATGTTTTCGGTCCGTGGCTAGTACAAGCTCGTCGCACACGTGGGGGCCAAGCACATGGTAAAAGATGGGCAGTGATATTTACTTGCATGGTTGTTAGAGGAGTTCACATAGAGGTATTAGAATCCATGGATAGTAGCTGTCTTATCAATGCCTTAAGACGGTTTTTTGCTATCAGGTCAAGCAAAACAAATAAGGTCCGACTGTTGTAGTAACTTCATTGGAGCATGCAATGAGATTGGAAAGCAGCTTTCTGCTAGGGAGGTCGACTATGTCAAGCGATATCTTCTGGGACACGGATGTTAATGTGTTTTCAACCCACCGCACGCGTCACACATGGGTGGCGCGTGGGAGAGAATGATCGGCATTGCGGGACGTATACTTGATGCTACCTTAAAAGATGTGAAGCCAAGTCAATTATCTCCTGAGGTGCTGACAACCTTATTGACAGAAGTCACAGCTATCATAAATGCAAGATCATTGCTTCCCGACTGCAACCTGCCAGAATTACCTATGAATCTGTCGCCCAGTATGCTTCTTACTATGAAGCACTCACCTGTGAAAGCTCCTGAAGGACCATTTACTCATAATGACCTTCTCCGAAGTCAATGACGTCGAGTCCAATTACTTTACCTCGCTGGTGTGTTTTGGTTGAAATGGCGTAGGGAGTACCTACCTTTAATGCAAGAGCGGAAAAAGTGCACAGCGTAATATGAGCAAAGGTGATGTGGTCCTTATAAAGCAGCTGGACAACCATAGGAATGGCTGGCCGTTGGGCCAAATTGTGGAGGTTGAACCCAGCAGGGATGGTTACGTTAGAAAAACAGTTGTTGAGTTTATGCAGAACGGGGTTAAGAAAAGATGTTCAAGACCCATAAATGAACTGGTTTTGGTGATGTCATGTGACTAATTTAACAGTTAAGTTTTAGATGACGTATTAAACGTCAGACGGGGAGTGTTTTGGTCCTTTGGGCTATCTATAGGTGTAACTTGTGATGCGCGGGTTAGAGTAGACGACCGATACTAGCAAAGAAGGTTGCTGTACCTGTACTGTAAGTTCGATTAATGTTAGTTAATTATAAATCGTTTATTTTAAGAATCATAAAATATTGATAGTATTGTGATTTTTAGGCTGTGGAGTATAACTGTAGCTTTTAAACATTGATAGCATCTTGATGCGGATTAGCAGATGATCTGTGATCTAGATACTCAAGCAGCCTAGTTTATTGTTTGCTAGTGGGCCTAGAACTTATTAGGAATTTGGTCTTAGGTCGAAATCAAGCTTATTTGACGTCTAATTGATATGGTTAATGATCACCCTTGTTGAAATGTAGACATTTAGCGATATGTTCAGTTTGTTAACGGTTTATATCAGTTCGGTATAAATCACTAAGGATAACAGTATTGTAGGGCGTATCCCCATACTTCGGTTTGGGTGCAGTGCTGGCATGGTATTCAAATTTCACTTCTTTTTATTTTGTGGTTTTGGTTTCCGTTCCATCTTTACACTTGCCTGATAGCGCTTAGAGACTTTTTGTATTTTGCGCTCTATAAATTAATAACCATTAACCATTAGGTTGATAAAGGCGTACGCCATGTAATTAATTAGCCATTGTAGTTTGGGCTAAGCCATGCTGGCCGGTGCTCGTTGCGCTTGAGTAGCTCGGGTATATAGACGCCGTTTAGGTTGCCGTGTGGTTATTTTCCATACACGGAGGTGGCTTCTATGCACGGGAATTGTTTACTACTGACTTATTTGTTATTGGTTTTATGCTAAACTATGAATATACTCTATACTATATTATAAATCTTGTTCGTTCTTTTTATGACAGGGATAAATCCACTATAAGTTGATAGTGTTACATCCATGTGAGATTGCATTTTAGTTTGCTGAGTGAAGACTTGCGGTGTCCGTAAGCACTAGCCTGTAAGTTGACTGTAGGAATATTGTTATGTTAAATAACCTTGGGTTATATTGTGGGTAATTGATAATTATACGATATTGTTGATTGTTGGTTCATGAATAATTATAGTTTGTTTTGTTATGTTATTCACAGTTTTACTCGACGTTCACAAAAGGAGGAATAAATTACACGTACAACCGTCAACGTGAGTTTTTTGTATTTGTGTGTTGGAGAGTTCACATACTGGATAGGGGGCGCTCATTCCCTCGAGGCCAGTACAATTACTCATTTTTTTGTTATGTATTTATACACACATAAGGCTTATTTACTGTAATGAAGAACGAGAAAAAATACCTAAGCATTTCAAGGAAAACCTTGAATTTCTAAGAACTTGAAAGTCCAGAGAGGAAACGTTGAATTTTGAAGAACTTAAAAGTCATTAAAAAGACACATCAGAAGTCGGAAAAGCTCATTTCCCGCCATTTAGGAATAAAAATTTTCCCGGGGAGAACCCCTGAACTTTCCTTCTCTTTGGGGTTTATCGATTCATGGAAAGAAAGAATACGTATGCAACTACCGTACTTGCACGAATAAGCGCCCGGGCGCTTAAAATATTTTTCTGCCCTTTTTGAGGGGCGCTTATTTAAACGGGTCGCTTATGAAAACAGAGTGGAAATTAAGGGGTCGCTTATGGATATATTTGGAAAATACAATGGGTGATTTTTGGATTAAAAAAAATATATATATATGGACATCCGAAACCCAAGATTACGAATGGTTCTATATGGAAGGCAATCACCGCCAAAAATACAATTTTAGATAATAAACGTGCTTTCTCAAACAAACAACGTAAATTTACAAATAAACAATGTACTTTTACAAAAATGTTCTTTTTAAAACAAACAACGTATATTGCCAAACGATGTATTTTCTCAAACGAAGAACGTACATTGTGAAACGAAGAACGTTCCATGCCAAACAAACAATGTACATTGCCAAACGAACAATGTACTTTCCCAAACAATGTAAAATGCAAAATGAACAACGGAATCGTCCATTATTTCAACGGGATAATTGTAATTTTATAGCGCGCATCACACGCTGAACAAGATAACGCCCTCATCATCAGTTATCAAGTTCTTAGACTCTCTTTCACAGAACTGAAAGGTGGTAGCTGGTTTCCAACAAGCAATACCTGCATTAACAGAATAACATTTATTACGCGTAATTTGCCCGATGATGCAAAGTTGTTTGCGGCCTATGGCATTCCTTTGCGATCACTTCGGACAGGAGTAGACAGAAAAGTATAAATTCTACATAAAAACCTGTTTCTTGTGTTTATTACTTTAAAGATGCCATTATCACTGTATAAGTGGTATTGTTATTTAAAAAAAAGTATTAGAAATTATAGAAAAAGCTAATTTTTGTGCAACAGGTCAAGAACATTTATCAATTACATTGAATAAAATGTTGCGTTGTTGTTGAACCCTGAATAATCATTATTCTAAATGTCATGTTATACTGAATTGACATTAGTAGTTTACGTATAGCATCCTTCAGATCAGCAATTTGTTACAGAGCAACATATCGTTACACGTCTAATGCCCTAGGGCAATGTTTTTCAGACTTAATATATACTGATTTGATACTTAATATAATAATAATGTTTAGTTGTGAATTCCTGAAGGCCTGGTTCATGAATATTCCAAAAATTAAAACAAATAAAATTAAAGTAAAATTTTTCAAAAAGTATTATATTGTTGGCTCCTGTTTAATGCTGTTTGTATACAACATAGCATTCACCCTTCTATGTATCAATAATTAATCACTGAAAACTCATTAGGTAACCTTACACGCTACAGGGCTCCATTTAATACAATTTTTATAGCCTTAATCATCAAACTAATGAAAAACTGTTTACTTTTTTTTTGTCATTATTAAGGCTATTTCCAGAGTATAAACTTGCTCTGAAAAAAATCGTACAAATATTGGAGACAAGTTTATGAAATGTAGTTAGGTCATCTTGAGGATATTTCCTGCAGGACCTAGGCTACTATGGGCTAATGACAGGTACGTTTTCACCATTAAAGGCTTTTTCTATGAATGGAATGACCTGTACGAAACACAAGCTGCTCTAGACCAAACCCACGGTACCGTTGCGATTTTAATCGTGCGGGAAATATCCTCAATAATGCAGGTATTGCTTGTTGGAAAACAGCTACCACCTTTCTGTGTAAGAGAGTCTAAGAACTTGATATGATGAGGGCGTTATCTTGTTCAGCGTGTGATGCGCACTATAAAATTACAATTACCCCATTGAAATAATGGACGATTCTGTTGTTCATTTGGCATTACAGTACATCGTTTGGGAAAGTACGTTGGGGGGGGTGTGTATAAGAGACGTTGGGGGGGGGGGGGCAATGTACATTGTTTGGCATGGAACGTTCTTCGTTTCACAA